CCGTCAATCTTCGGCCGGTATCTAATCGCTGCTATCACGGCCAGCGTGCATCTCTTTCATTCAGCTTGATTCTTTCTACGCCTCAGCGACACCNAAACAGACAAACACATCTCCCTCTCCTCGTCTAACTCTGGTACGTCCTGTATTATAGCCTGCTTCGATGCGCTAATCGCAGCCTATCCAGAAAGAAAGGAGTACTCCAAAGTTTGATTGTTTACTGCTCTCCGGGTAGAACGACGTAGATTCTTCTAGTGTCCAGGCCTGCCACGCTTGTAGCACCAGTTCGTTCGAGGGTCCCTGCGCGATTCCATCTTTGTCGCCGCAAGATGTTCAACGCGTTGTTCTACTCTGGTCTGCAGTTTCTCCACTGATGAACCATTCTTGTTCGCCTGCGACTACAACGTTGGCAGCGGTACCCCAGTCAGCTCCTCTGCCAGATGCACCAGGCGCCCCACATCCAACTGGACAGTTGCTCTCGTCAACCGCAACTGGGCACCGAGCCCCTGCCGCACCCCTTCGATTAATTGGTCAGACAGCAACTGGTGGCGTGACACTTCGTCTAGTTCTCGCGAAGCCCGATCCAATGACTGCTGCAGGATGGCGAAGAATATGGTCACGTCACATCCGGGTACGATCTTGGCTGTTTTGAACAGCCTCTTAGCCTCCTGGTGGTCAGCTGGCGCGCCCATTCCAACTGCAAAGGCTTCCTTGCGGCGGTCCAGCTCATCTTCCGAGGGCCTCTTCTAGCCATATTTAGGGCCAGCTTCGCCCGGCATCTCTGGAGGGACTTCAGCACCGCCAATTCACCCCGGCCGGTATCCAGTCCAGCAGCATCCCTCCTCAAAGTCCTCCAGGAAGGTCCAAACATCCCCATTCTCAAAACGTTGCGGCCACGAGATCTTCATCCTTATCCTAGCCACAGCGCCAAATCAAAGGAAGAAGGCCTTCGGAGCGGAGTTATTTATTGGGAAACCCCAGCGAATCAGATACAGACTATTGGATTCACGAATTCACGCATTCACGGATTGTAATACAAGCTCGAGGCTTTTGTCCACGTTTCCCGGGTCGGTTTTGTTCTTGCTCGTCAGTGGCCGTCGTTCACCTGAAAGGCACAAGTGAAAAAAGGACGTAGCACTGCTCTTTATGTTCGCAGCGGGGGCGGTCTACTTGCCAGCGCGAGGATCCGCATAAATAAATGCCTAATAATGTTTTAAACTGGGTTCTGGAAGGAGTGTAGACGGCTGTCGGAGGAAGGCCATTCCATACAACTACTAACCGAATTCCGAAAAACTCCTGTCTAATGAATGTGTGTGCTCTGAGCTTAAAAATTTTCTTACTATGTCCCCGCCGTGTGTTTGTTGGGTCAACGGTAAAAAACCTGTTTTTAGCCTTTGTCCAAACAGGGCATAAGGAAGGATTAGGTCTCCTCAGAGGCAACGGTACTCCAGGGGAAAGAGATCAGGCATCGCTAGACGCGTTTCGTAGTCCACGGGTTTGAGGCCGGAAACCATTCTCGTGGCGGCTCGCTGGACACGCTCAATGAGGGTGACATCTGTCGTGCGTCCTGAGTAGACGACTTGGTTGGCGTACTCCAGTAGCGGTCTGACGTAGGTCACATAGAGAACTTGGAAGTCTATGCGAGTAATACGGGAGGTGCGTCGGATCATCCGTAAAATGGCGAATGCCTTTTGGGCCGGCTTCTCATGGTGCAGTGGGAAGGATTAGCTCAAGGAAACCCAGTCGTCCAAATCCTTTTTGCATCTATCCCCATGATGATTTCTGGTCCTTTCTCATCATGGACAGAGAAGTATAATATAATAATAATAATAATGTTTCTTCCTAACTTGTGGGTGGCATAACGTCTGGCATGATTATGCGTTTACAGTCAGGCTGGGGTATGACTGGAGGTTTGCGGGTGATGGGGATTGCGCGAAAAGAGGACAATGTCAAACAGTGTGAAGTATTCGATGAAATAATAATAGGTTTCTTTCGCAACCTGTATGGAACAGTGTGCATATGGTCCGACTAATTCAAAGACTCAGTAATAATAATAATAATAATAA